GTCTCGGTGATAATTGAGCACCCAGCTTACTGAGGATATCCCTTCCCATAAGGGGAGTAAGGCATTGAGGTGTAATTAGGAACCGATGGGAAAAAAATTATGCCCTCCCAGTGCAGCCAAGAGCTGGGGTTAGAGGATAATGAGTTTACCTGCTAACTCCCACAATGAGATGACAGTCACAGGAGAGGCTCCAGCATAAGCGATAAGTACTGAGTAGGTGGCTCCCATGTCAGTAAGGAAAGTGGGGGTCCTACCTGCCATGTGCAAGGTCACCCTGGGCTCCGCCGATCTCATGACGTTGATGGCCATCGTGGGAGCTGACTGGACCAGAGGGCATCCTCATGGAAGGGCTCTGGAGGCCTCTTCAGGGTCCTGGAACTCCGGGGCAGTCCCTGGCCCAGTAGCCGAGTTGACCACATTTGGGGCCAGGCTTTCGTGGAGGCTTTAGTAAGAGTCCTGTGTCCAGGCTTCTGGTAGTAATTGCAGGTCATCAGGATTTTCTAGAGTGACCGGGAGATGGCTTCTGCACAATCAAAGCAGCAGTTAATTGAGTCTTCATATTTTCCTTCTGCTTTTCTTTTGCCTTAACCCTGTCTTCTAGCTCTAGGTCTTGGTCCTAAAAGACTGAAGAGATCACTCTCAGGAGTTCTGCTGAGACGGTGCTGGGTCCTTGTGATAGCTTTTGTTTTCTTTCTTTTTTAGAGAGAGATTTTTGCTATAGGGCGCATGCACTTGCCAGAGAGACATAAGAAATCCCCCCTGTGGGGGTGACCACACCATAATCCCTTGTCCTCCATTCTTCTTTTGGGTATTCAGCATGCATGCACACATGACTGGCATGAGTTTCAAGCTGCAGGGTCTGGGACGTGAACCTTGGTTGACTATGTGGGAGTCCACCAATATAACCATTTCACCATCTGCTGGTCCCAGAATTGACATGTTTATGATACTAAGTTTCCCAGTTCATAAACGTGGGGTGTGTTTCCATTTCCTTATGTCCTTTTTCATTTCTTCCAGCAATATTTTATTTTCATTTTACATGCCTTTTCCTCCTTGGTTAAATAAACATGGAACTGTTTTATTCCTTTTGATACTATTTCTAGAGGAATCATTTTTGCATGTTCTTTTTTGATTGTTCACTTTATTGTATAGAAATGTAACTGATTTGGGGCTGGCCCTCTGGGCAGTGGTTAAGCACTGTGCAGAGGAAGCTAGATCCCACACAGCCAAGTGCCGTTCAGGTCTTGGCCCCAGGCACCTGTGCATGTGTGCACCCAAGATATCCTGACTGGACAGGGAAAGGAAGGGAAAAGATTGCAGTGTGACCATACCCCACTGGGAGTGCTTTCCCTCTCTGGCAAGCACATGTACCATGTGGCAATATAAAGAAAAGAAAAATGAGGACCAGCAGATGGCCTAATAACCATGTAGTCGACCACAGTTCGACCACCTTGTGGCTTAACCTCATGCTGGATGCGTGTGCGTGCGTGCCCAAGATCCCGAGAGGAGAATGGAGGAGAAGGGATGGTATGGCCATCCTCCCTGCGGGGTGATTTCTCGCTTTCTGTCTTTCTCTGTCTTTCCAGAGAGCGCCCGTGCCCTATAGCAAAAACCTCTCCCCCCCACCAAAAAAAAAGGAAGGAAAAGAAAAAAATGTAATTTATTTATTTTTGTAATTTGCGTTGTAGGGTGTCTGTGCTTGCCACAGAGAAGGAGAGGAAAAGTGAGAAAGCTCCCCCTGGGGGCACGGCTGTGCCACATCCCATCTTCTCTGTTCCCCTCTGGTGCAACACATGTGCCTCGCCTGTTCTTCAAGTCGCAGGGTCTTGAGCTCGAACTGCTCCATCAGCAATGTAGGATCCAGCTGTCTTAACCACCACGCCACCAACAGGGTAGTTACTAATTTCTTTCCTTCTTTTGGAGAGATTTTGTAATAAGGGCGCCTGCGTTCACCGGAAACCTAGAAAGTGAGAAATCACGCCCCGGGGGTTGGCCACGCTGCAGTCCCTTCCCCACCATTCTCCTCTCTGGCTCGTGGACCTGTGCACACATGCGCCTGGCATCTGTTTTAAGCTGCCGGGTCTCGGACTCAAATTGTGGTTGAGTACATGGGTATTCCAGCGACGTGACTATCTTGCCATCTTCCAGGCCCCCGATAGTAGTTTCTAGTTACTTAGTGATAGGTAGTAGTAATTTCTTACTTCTCTGATTTCACAGCATGATGATACTCATTTGTTAACTTAATCACAAACCCAGGCAAGAGATTAGCTTAGAGATGCCAAGAATAATGCACCAATGGAAAAGCTTTAGCCACATGAAAGCAATTCAGTACACTTCAGGACTCTCGGTCTGTCTCAGTTTCAGTTGGTTGTGATTCATTTTGTCGAACCTTTAATAATCCTACATGCGCACGTAGGATACATGTATCCTTGTAGCATTTAGTACAGTGGGCAAATGACAGCTTTACCAGGGAGCACTGGGAGTGGCTGAGTCTGGTTCCCTGGGATCTTGAATTTATCTCACCATCGGAAGTATGCTAGGGTGTCCAGATGCTGTGGTGGAGTGGTGACGGCCACAGCACACACTGCTCCCATCACGCACTGCTCTTCCAGTCCACCTTGGTGCTGGAAGCCATATGACAACAGCGGTTAAGCTCCCGGGGGTGTGGGCACCCAGGGTCCTGAGGAGCTGGAGGGCTGGGAAGGGGGAATCAGGGTGTGACGAGGCTCTATCGAAGGTGCAGTGTCTATCCTCCCTCCGTGTGTCTCTCGTCCACACCCTTTCTATCATAGAATGGAAGGAAAAGTGCACTGGGGAGTGTGAGAGGCCCAGGGAAACTGAGGTCTTCTCAAGTAGCAGCTTTGTCTAGTGATACTGGGAAGATAATTTTCTATTTGGTAATTTCTTCCAAAATATGTGATACTCAGTGGGAAAAATAACTCATATCAAGCACGTCTGTCCCTTTGGCCCAGACCGTGTGAATATGTATGAATATTTTAGGGATGCTACTCTGTGGACTTTTCGTTTTTTAGCAATATTTATTAAGTGATGTAGTTTAACAAGTATTTGAGTGCCTGCTGTGTACACTGCATGGCAGTGGGCACTGAGGAAGTAGTACCCTACCCTGGATTTCTTTCCCTCGTAATCTGAGGTCTAGTGTTTAGAAAGGGTATATGGGGCTAGCAGGTGGCATGGTGGTTAAGGTGCTGGATTCCCACTCGGCCGACCGCGGTTCAAATCCTGGACTCATTGGCTTGAAAATCACAACAATAAATAGATAAATAAATGGTTAAATATTTTTAAAAGATAGAAAAGGTGTATAAAGGATGCTGTACAAACATAAAAAATGTAATGTAATTTTGGTTTAGGCAGGCGGGCATAACTTGTGCAATGGGAAGGACTCCAGGAGAAAGTAATCTTTTAAGCTAAATATGTCCTTAGGCATTTCTGCAGAATGAGGACTCTTGGTCCAGTCTGCTTGGCTCACAGTCCTGTGCCTGTGTCCTTTTTTGAAAAGTGGGGCTAGGGACCAGCAGTTAACGTAATAGCTATGTCGCTGGACTCCCACGTAGTCGACTGCGGTTCAAGTCCCGGACCTGGTGGCTTAAAACTCACACCTGGCGCGTGTGTGTGCGTGCCCAAGATCCTGAGAGGGGAATGGAGGAGAAGGGATTGTGGCGTGGCCATCCCCCCAGGGGGTGATTTCTCGCTTTCTGTCTCTGTCTGTCTGGCGAGCGCATGCGCCCTATAGCAAAAACCTCTTAAAAAAAAAAAGAAAAAGAAAAGTGGGACTAGTCACACCAGTCTCACTGTGTTGCGCGGGCAAAGCAAGTTAGTTCACGTAAAGCCCTTTGAACACTGAGTTCCTGGCATAAGTTAGTGCTTGATGTAGTCCTTCTTATTTTTATCTACTCTTTATCTGGTAGCAAGTACCCACTGAGAGGTCGGTATTTTGATACAAATTCGACATGCGCTTTTTACTAAGTCACAACGTGACCTATCCAATTTTAAGAACAGTAGAAATAGGAGCCTGCAAAATAAGTTTGGCATCTTTTTACAGGTTAAATTTTATTAATATCTGCTCTAAGAGACTGTCAGAATTAAGTTTTACGTATCTTTGACAAAAACGGATTTTACTTCTGGGAATTGAGAGAGTTTGTTTGGAGGTCCTAGCAGGGGAGGCACAGCTACTCATATACCCTCGACGGTTCTTCGGTCCTCCTCTATGGGGATGGTTGTCTTCCACGACCCAGCGCACAGCTTTGGGAGGGACGCACATGGAGCAGTGAGGGAAGAAAGGGACACCTGCCTAGCCAGCCAGATCAGCCGAATCAACCTTGACGGTCAATGGGGTGACACATGTCGCAGCCAGATCGCCCTGACATCCAAGGGAATTGAGACCTTTTAATTCTGCTATCTGCTTCAGCGGTATCATTTAGTCCTCACTAAACTCCCCTTCACCAACAGTGCAGTCAGACCATCGTGCTTTTACATTTTTCTTCTTAAAAAAACTAATAGAGGGAACCAGCAGTTAGCGTAATGGCTATGTTGCTGGACTCCCACGTAGTCGACCGTGGTTCGCGTCCCGGACCCGGTGGCTTAAAACTCACGCCGGGCGCATGTGCGTGCGTGTCCAAGATCCCGAGAGGAGAATGGAGGAGAAGGGATTGCGGCGTGACCATCCTCCCTGGGGGGTGATTTCTCGCTTTCTGTCTCTATGTCTCTGTCTGTCTGGCGAGCGCACGCACCCTATAGCGAAAACCTCTCCAAAAAAAAAAAAACTAATAGAAATCTCTAGATTTAAAAACTATGCTTAATTTAGTTCATATCTCTTAAGGTTACAATCATATAATTTTATTATCCATATTTAAAGTAGGTTAATGACTCAACTATGTAACCACTTGAAAAAGATAGTGGTTAAGTAAGATAGTTACTGAAAATGTCATTGATGACCTGGTAACTAAAAGTTCTTGAATAACTATGATTATTTCTGTTTATAGACCATTTAATTTGGCAGAGCGGAAAATTAACGCCCATCCAGTAGTAGAATGCAATCATGCTCGGAAAGAAGTGAGTGTACGCACTGGAGGATTGACCGACAAGAGCTCGAGGAAAATGTATACTTTTGATATGGTACTGACCTTCTTTTTATTATTATTTTCTTTTTTTAAAAAATAATTATTTTATTTATTTTTATTTATTTATTTATTTATTTTAATTTGACCAGAGAGGGACAGAGTGATAAAGAGAGGAAAAATGAGAAAGCAAGCTGTCAGGTCAGGGACTTGAACTACAGTCAGCCATGTGGGAGTTCAGCGCCCTCAACCACCACGCCACCTGAAGCCCCCCCTTGCCTTCTTTTAAAAAATGATGCTATTGTATCTTGATTATCCACTAATATAAAGTCATCCTAACATACACCGTTTCCCTGGATGTGTGCTACACTTAGAAATTTCAGTGCTTTTCAAGTTGTCATTTGGTTTGACTGGGTTCAATGAGTTACTTTACTAAAAACAAATGTACTAAAATGAGTAATTTTTAGTTTTCTTTGTTTAAGACAAAATTTTTTTTGATAGGTATTTGGAGCATCAACTAAGCAAATTGATGTTTACCGAAGTGTTGTTTGTCCAATTCTGGATGAAGTGATTATGGGCTATAATTGCACTATCTTTGCGTAAGTGAGACACTGTTTTTCAAGCTTATTAAAAAGTCTAAGGTGCATGTATATTTTTTGGTTTAATGCTTTGTTTAATTTTGACAGATATGGCCAAACCGGCACTGGAAAAACTTTTACAATGGAAGGTGAAAGGTCACCTAATGAAGTGTATACCTGGGAGGAGGTATTTATTGTTTATAACATACTTTGATCTCTAATGTGGTTGAAATTTAACTGAGTAAAACTTTACTGAGGGATTTTTGTCTTAAAATTAAGGTGAGAATACTCACGTCAAGTATAATTTAGCATAAAGTACTCCTGTAGTAAAATGAAAATATAGTATGACTCCTGTTTAAGAAGCAGATAGTCTCACTGGGAGAAGGAGGACGAATACGTGTGGCTCAGTTCACTGATGAAAGGGGTGTCTGTGACAGAATAGTGGGACCAAAATAACTGGAGAAAAGTTGGAGTATGAGTAGGGCTTAAAAAGAGGGCTTTGTAGTGAGAGAATGAGCCTCAAAAAGTTAGAATAGCAAGGGAAAGTATGGTACTTTATTAACCTTGAGTGTTCAAGAAATTAAAATTATTATATTATTTAGTAGTACATAAAGCATATAGGATCACAAGGTTTTCCATCAAATATGTTCAAATTTAATTTTTTTTAAACTGCATGTGCTCACCAGAGAGAGAGGGAGGGAGATTGTACTTCCCACTTGGATGTGGTCACACTACACTCCCTTCTCCTCCATTTCTCTGTCCTGTTGAGATTTGGGGCACTGACACAGGTGCCTGGCATGTTTTTAAAGCCATTGGGAGGGCCAGATTCGAACCATGGTTGGCCATGTGGGATCCATATCCCTTAACTATTGGGCTATGGGGCCTGGCCTGAAATATATTTAAATTAAACAAGTTTAATAATTAAGTTATTTTCCAAGTTATTGACATTTAGATAAATTCTTTACTTTTTCTTAAATAATTATTTATTGAATTTTATTTGTTCATTAATTTTAATTTGACCAGAGAGAGACAGAGAGAGACAGAGAGAGAAAGAGGGGAGAGGGAAAGTGAGAAAGCATGCCACCAGGTCCAGGACTTGAACTGTGGTTGGTCATGTGGAAGTGTGCAGTGCCTTAACCACCATGTCACCTGCTGGTCCTGATAGATTCTTTTTTCTAGTGGTTACATAGTTGAGTCATTAACCTACTTTATATATGGATAATAAAATTATATGATTGTAACCTTAAGAGATATGAACTAGACTAAGCATAGTTTTATTAATTTTATTAAGATACTTGGATAGTTGTAAAACATCCTTATTTTATTATCATAATTAGGGAATATACTTTTAGTTACACCACTTTTCTGATTAAAATGGTGGTACAGTATTATGTGCTCATGAGGAAAGTTGAACAGGATTTCTCAACTTGGCTTTTAAGTAGCTTTATCTCCATGTAATGAAGAAGGCTAACAGGTGTGACAGATTTGTGGCAGATGAGAGGAACACCATTGAGTTGACATGTTGCAAATGACTTAACACCTGTAACATCAGATTGATTGGTTATTTTCATAACTGACTGTTATATTATTTATGTTTAAATAGACTGTAAAGGGAGGCCTTGTTATTCCTGTTTTAACTGCCTCAGTAGTGGCAG